ACCTTGCTAACTACTTCCCTCATGGGGGCCCTGCCGTGGCTCCCGCTCTGCAAACTCGATACGGCTAGCCCCCGCGGCCCGGGCCGTATCCAGCTCCTGCGAGCTTGGCAGGGTGCAAACAATTGGACGGCTCGAGACAGGAGGGGCAAACTGGAACGGCTTGCGACAGCCCAAGTAGGCTGAACCGGAGCCTACAGAGAAGGTTCTTCGAGGGGGCCGCAGGGCGCGAAGCACGGCGGCACCCCACTTCCCTCGGAGGCCCACTGGCGGACCCCAACAGGGCTCAGGGGCTCCAAGACGGCTCCAGCCGGGCCCAGGTGTCCCCAAGGTGGGCCCGGCTGTCCACGGCTCCAAGATGGGCCACGGTGGCCCAAGAGGCGGCCAAGATGCCCCCAGAGCACTCCAAAGAGGACCCCCGAGAGGGCCCCGAGAGGCAAAACTCGTCGATTGCCCATGGGTGTTTGAAGGATGTTAGCATTCTCGCCTTGGCCCAAGAGGCCCCCGAGATCGCCCAAAGGCGGGTGGCCCAGGCCCCCAAGAGAGCCCCCCGAGGGCCCAAGAGGGTCCCAGGACGGCCCAGAGGGTGAAAACGAACCGACATTCCGAGTTGCCCGCCCCAAGAAGCTCCCAGGAGGCCCAAAGAGGCCCACAACAGGTCACAAGAGGCCCACAACAGGCCCCCAAGAGTCAAGAGGCCCCCCAGAGGCCTCAAGGGGACACACCTCCTCCTCCTCCTCCTCCTCCTCCTCCTCCTCCTCCTCCTCCTCCTCCTCCTCCTCCTCCTCCGCCTCCCCCTCCCCCTCCTCCTCCTCCTGCTGCTCCTCATCCTCCTGATCCTCCTGATCCTCCTGATCCTCCTCCTCCTCCTCCTCCGACTCCTCCTCCTCCGCCTCCCCCTCCCCCTCCTCCTCCTGCTGCTCCTCCTCCTCCTGCTGCTGCTCCTCCTCCTCCTGCTCCTCATCCTCGGGCGGGCTGCTAGCTGCGCGGCCCATTCCCGCACGGACCCAGCCCAGGCCAGGCCCTCGCCCTGGCGAAGGGGCGTCCTCTGGCCGAGCAGGGAGTGAGGGAGTGAGGAGGAGGAGGAGGAGGAGGAGGAGGAGGAAGAGCAGGAGGAAGAGGAAGAGGAGCAGGAAGAGGAGGAGGAAGAGGAGGAAGAGGAGGAAGAGGAGGCAGATGAAGAAGAGAAGTACGGAGGAGGAGAAGGAGGAGGAGGAGGAGGCAAAGGAGATGGTGCAGGATGGACGGATGGAAGAACACATGCCACAGAACGCTCTGGGAGAAACATCTGCGCAGATAGAGCAGCACGCGGGAGGGACGGGTCAGAAACCCGAGAATGATCAGGGGAGAGGGGGAGTAATAAAACGTATCCGCCACCGTGCAGTAGGCACATGATGTGATGTGTTCATGTCCTTCAGAGCCCTCAGCGCTGAGAACTGAGCATACTCTTGAAGGACCCCAGCTGATGGAATTCCCAGGCGCTCTTGGGCGCTCTCTGGTCGTAACGTTACCCGAGGCCCTGGACGCGTTGCTGGAGGTTGTAACCCCTAACGTGCCCCAAGATGGTCCCAAGGGTCCGTCATGGAGCCTTCTTGCGGGCGGGCCCTTTGGGTCATCTTGGAGGCCCTGGGGGTCACAACGCCACAAAGCCTGCAGTACTAGTAAATGCGTGACTGTGGCATGCTACCCCTTCTGATACTAAGGGCGTCCACCACAGCCCAAGGAGCCTCCGCGATCGACCCCGGAGCCCTCGGGGAGACCTCGGCATCGAGTTTTGGGGGCTCGAGCTGGACTCGGGGGGCCGGGGCCGTCCGAAAAGTCCGCCAGCGTGCCCCTGTGGCACGAAGTGGAGTGCCCCGGGGCGGAACCTAAACGGTGTCTGTCGTTTTCGTTTTGTTTTCGTGTTCCCTCGCTCTTGTCTCGGATCCGCCTGCACCGCAAAAAACGAAGTCGCAACGAAAACGGCCCACGAAATCACCCAAAACACCGCTAAGGTCCAGCCCTGGAGTGTCCCCGGGCCCCTTTGCCCAACCCCCGAGTCTCAGTCCTCCGCCCTGGGGGGTCCTCCAGGGGCCCGGGCCCACAGCTCTCAAATCTTCTTGGGCTCCCCGCGTGCCCTCTGGGCTCTCCCGGATGTTCCCGCATGACTTGTTCGGGGCCGCGAGGGTCCCAAGACATGCCGCGAGGGCCCCAAGAGGCCGCCCAGACGGACCAAGAGGGCCCCGATTCGCCGCACGATCGGTCCAAGACGTGCGAGATGGCCTCAAGACTGCCCAAGAAGCCCTCGAGGCGCCCCACGAGAGCCCCCAGACCCTTCCCAAGAGGGCCCCGAGAGGCCAAAATCATCGATGCTCATCTTAGGGTTTCGATGTGTTTGAGGTCCTCGACGTTCCGAGCTTCCGACGCTCCAAGACGGCCCAAAAGGCCCCGAAGACAGCCACAAAACGGCCGAAGAGGCCCCCAGGAAGTCCCCAAGAAAACCTAAGAGGGCCCCAAGACTGCCACAGGCCCCCAAGAGACCCCAAGAGACCCCCAAGAGGCCCCGAAAATGCCCCCAAAGGCCCCAAGACGGCCTCCAAGAGGCATCAAAGCGGCCCCCAAGAGACACCCGAGAGGCCTCCCCGACATCCCGACGAACATCGTAGAGGCCCACGGCCCACAATCCAGACACCTTGGCGGGAGAGGCCGAAGGCCATTAGATACCCCACTCGATTCTGCCATCTACCCTATCCAGATCCATTCTGCTCTGCTCTAGTCTACCCTACCTGCCCTACCCTACTCTACTCAGCTCTATTCTGAAATACTCTACTCTACTCTACTCTACTCTACTCTACTCTACTCTACTCTACTCTACCCGTGCTCTACTATACTCCGAACATGTTCCTACTACACGTCTTGACCCTACTCGCATATACTACTACTAGATCCACGCGCGCGCTCCGCGCGCGCTTAGGTTCTAGCCAGCGCAGGCGCTTGACAATACCACGGCTGCGCGCATTGACAAAGTCACGGCTGCACGAATGCACGTACCGACGAATGGCTTCAGCATGGCTTGAAAAATCAACATGAGCCTAGCCCCAGCAGAGAAGGGTCTCTTGGGCGCCGCCGGGGGTTAGTCCAGGCCCCTTCTCTTGGGGCCGTCGTGAGTCCTTGGGCCAAATCAACACGAGGGCAACGGGTGAAGCCGCCACCGTGCCTGTGTTGTGGGTCAGAAGCATGTTGGATGCTTGTTGGGGTCTCTTGCGAAGTTTCCAAAGAACATGTTCGAAACAATTCTGATGCCTCGTGGGGCTCGTCCGTGGCTGCTTGCGGACTGTAAGGGCTTCTTTGGGGCCTTCAGTGGGCTTCGTGGGGCCTCTGGAGTGCTTCTTGGGGGGATGCACTTTTGATATGTTTCGAAGCCTCAAGAGCAACGCCTCGCAGCAGCAGGGTGCGACCTAAACGTTGTTTTGCTGGATTTCGGGCTTCGTTTTGTTTTTCGTCCTGGCGGAATGTTACGGGAGAACAGGCCAGAATTATCCCAGTGCGACCCTTCCTAGAAGTTGGAGCCTCTAGGAAAACAACATTAGTAGGAGCGGTAAACGCCGTCCTCCTCCTTCTCCTCATCGTCGTAGTTGTAGCAGTAGCGGTAGTAGTAGTAGTAGTAGTAGTAGTAGTAGTAGTAGTAGTAGTAGTAGTAGTAGTAGTAGTAGTAGTAGTAGTAGTAGTAGTAGTAGTAGTAGTAGTTAGTAGTAGTAGTAGTAGTAGTAGTAGTAGTAGTAGTAGTAGTAGTAGTAGTAGTAGTAGTAGTAGTAGTAGTAGTAGTAGTAGTAGTAGTAGTAGTAGTAGTAGTAGTAGTAGTAGTAGTAGTAGTAGTAGTCGTAGTAGTAGTAGTAGTAGTAGTAGTAGTAGTAGTAGTAGTAGTAGTAGTAGGAGTAGGAGTAGGAGTAGGAGTAGTAGTAGTAGTAGTAGTAGTAGTAGTAGTAGTAGTAGTAGTAGTAGCAGTAGCGCCAGAACCGCCGACGCCATGCCGTAAGTGAAGCAGCAGCAGAAGCTGGCAGCAAGTCGCCGAGACAGCAGCAAGTCGCTGGGCTAGGCTAGGGTAGGCTAGGCTAGGCCAGGCTAGGCTAGGCTATGCTGCGCTATGCTATGCTGCGCTATGCTATGCTATGCGCTGCTGTGCTATGCTATGCTTTTGCGTTGCCTTCGCTTTTGCCTTCACGTTTGCCTTTGTTGTTGCTTTTGCTCGGCACCCAGGGAACGCAACTTGGGGAACCACGCGTTTGCTTTTACCTTTGCTGTTGCTTATGCTTGGCTCCCAAGGGACTGGGGGAACCGCCCAGGGCGGTTTGCACTGCCCGGCCCCTTTAAGCAAAGCGAGTAAGAACCTTTCTAGGCAGAGCCTAGGTAGGGAACAACACGAACAACATAACGACAACGAAACGAATAACACCGTTTAGGTCGCGCCCCGCGCAGCAGACAACGGCGGACGACATCGAGTGGATCATCGGATCGGGGCCACGCGAAGACATCTGCAACACGCACAACAAAGTCTGCACATCAGAGCCACTGGCGGGATCGACCAGAGAGGAGTGCTTTCAACATTTTGTGTCAGCGTATGAGGGCAGTGGTGAAAACTACGTGGAGGACCTGCTGACCCCAGCTATCCTGAGTTATGGAGAAGAGGCCCTTTGCGACAACATTGGAACCGAAGATCCATCGTATCCTCTTTGCTATCGTCATCAAGATGCCCAAGGGAATGCATGCCCAACAAATGAAGTCCGCGTAACTAGCCGACGGCGGCGTTGGGATACGGCGCCGTGTTCCAGCGATCCTCTCGATGGTCTCATGGCTTCCCACTCCGGGAGAGCCAGTCAGGGAGGCTCGGACGAGCAGTTCGTCACAACCCCTTGCGGCGCGCACTACAATGTTATTGGCCTGTTCGCGAACAAGCTGAGCCTTGATGACATCAAATGCACAATTCCTTACGCATGGGGCTTTCAACGGTACCTGTGCGCCTGCAGGGCGTCCCCGACGCCGCGCCCGACTTTGGCCCCGACGAGCAGCCCGACGAGCAGCCCGAGCTCGTCCCCGACGCCCAGTCCGACGAGCAGCCCGACAAGCGGCCCGACCTCGCCCCCGACGCCCAGTCCGACGAGCAGCCCGACCCCCAGTCCGTCCTCGTCACCGACGAGCAGCCCGACGAGCATCCCCACTTCCAGCCCGACCTCGTCCCCGACGCCCAGTCCAACGAGCAGCCCGACGAGCAGCCCGACCTCGCCCCCGACGCCGAGCCCGACGCTGGGCCAGACGCCTGCCCCGACGCCTAGCCCAACGCCAGCTCCGACAGTGGCCGCGACCCCGGCTCCGACGCTTGTGCCGACGTCCAGCCCGTCTCCGCCCCCTGCCGCGAATCCCCGTGCGGGCGGGGCAGGTTCTGGGGCTTCCGCCGTCGGCGACCCCCACCTGCAGAACATCCACGGCGAGCGATTCGACTTGACGAAGGCGGGCAATCATGTTCTGATCAACATCCCTCGTGGAGTGAGTGCTGAAAATGCCTTGCTTCGCGTGCAGGCCGATGCGCGCCAGTTGGGTGGACAATGCGCGGACATGTACTTCCAGCAACTCAACGTCACCGGAACGTGGGCAGAGGCCAAACAAGCCGGAGGCTACCGCTACAGCGTGTCGCAGCAGCATGACGCCAAGATTCCGGAATGGGTTGTTGTCGGCAAGGTCGAGCTGAAAGTCGTGCATGGGCGTACGGACAGCGGCCTCCTGTACCTGAACTTGTACGTGAAGCACCCGGGGCGAGCGGGATTCGTAGTCGGAGGGTTACTGGGCGAAGACGATCTTGGAGATGTGAGCCCTGCGCCAGATTCATGCGCGCAGCGCCTGGCCCTCGTCGCGGGAGCGCGCGGCGGCGGAGGCTTCCGCGGCGGAGGCCCAGGAGATGGCTTCGGTCGCAGTAGCTAGCCTCGCCTGACCATGACAGCGTTGTGGTCGCTATTATAATTTCGAGCGCTGGTCCCAGCAACGGCCACTGTCATCGGCGGTTCCGTCGGTTGGTAGGCCATCCCTACGGGGACTGCGGGGCCCGCTTTTGCTCGCATCGTTCTCCCCTCCTCCCCGTCCTCTCTTTGGGGCCGCGAGCGTTTCAACCCGCTCGTGTAAGCTTGCCAAGGCCGGCTCGAACCCTCGCTTCTGTGCGCACGAATCTGAAAAAAAAAAAAAAAAAAACATGTTCCCAGAAGGCCTTTCGGGACCATTATATTCGTCAGGCCCCCCCAACGTAACTCCCCAATATTCGACGACGACGGAAGAAAGGCCCAAGCAACCCCCCAAGACCCTGCCACAAGTCAGGTTCTCAGAAGGCCCTCCAGGAACATGACTTTTCAGGCCGCCAACTTTGATCCCGAAGTGGCGACGACGACTGACGACGACGACGACGACGACAGATCGCCCCGAGCAGCCCTCCAAGACACTCCCCAAAATCATGTGCCCAAATGTCCCTTGCGGAATAGGATTCATCAGGCCCAAACATGGCTCCCAGAGAGGCGACGACGACGACGGAACGCCGCAAGCAGCCCACAAGGCAGTCTCTCTCAACTCACGTTCCCAGAAGGCCTTCCAGGGACATGACTCATCAGGCCCCCAAGATGGCTCCCCAAGAGGCCTCTAAGAGGCGACCACGACGACGAAACGCCCCAAGCAGCCTCCTAAGACACTCCCCCCAAAAAGTGTTTCCTGAAACCCTTCTGGGAACATGATTCATCGGGTCCCCAACGCGGTTCCAAGAAAGGTCCAGACAGAAGCCCCGACAGAGCCTTGGGCTCCGAGGCACCTCCAGGAGCCCCATCAGGTCCCCTTCTTCAGTTGAGCTGTGAAGTCATTAAGGCCTGGAGCCTGTTAGAACCTAAGCGCGCGCGCGCGTAGCGCCCGTGGTTCTAGTGTGTGTGTGTGTGTGTGTGTATGTATGCATGTATGCATGTATGCATGTATGCCTGTATGCCTGTATGCCTGTATGCCTGTATGCCTGTATGCCTGTATGCCTGTATGCATGTATGCATGTATGCATGTATGCATGTATGCATGTATGCATGTATGCATGTATGCATGTATGCATGTATGCATGTATGTATGTATGTATGTATGCATGTATCTATGTATGTATGTATGTATGTATGTATGTATGTATGTATGTATGTATGTATGTATGTATGTATGTATGTATGTATGTATGTATGTATGTATGTGTGTATGTAGTATATATATATATATATATATATATATATATGTAGGTGACGAAATCGATTTCGGTTTCGTGCGTGCCGTGCGGGCGAGGCGAACCTGCGTGGGCGGGCGAGAGAAAGTCTCCTGTGGCTGAGGCGCGGCCGGACCAAATGTCTCCCTTCCGGGCGGCCGGGGGCCCCGCGGTGTCCCGCCGGTGTCCCGCTGGTGTCCCGTGTGGCTGAGGCGCGGCCGGACCAAATGACTCTCTTCCGGGCGGCCGGGGGCCCGCGGTGTCCCGCCGGTGTCCCGTCGGTGTCCCGTCGGTGTCCCGATGATGCTGATGCTGATGATGATGATGGTGATGATGATGTTGTTGTGCTATTGTGATGATCGATTGTGAGTTCGATAGTGAGGTCGAATGTGAGATCGATAGTAATATCGATAGTAATATCGATTGTGAGATCGAACGTGAAGACCGAATGTCAGATCGATTGTGAGATCGACTGTGAGATCGATAGTGAGATCGATAGTGGTATCGGTAGTGAGATCGATTGTGAGACCGAATGGGAGATCGATTGTGCGATCGATTGTGATACCGATAGTGAGATCGTGAGACCGAATGTGAGATCGATTGTGGGATATTGTGAGATCGATTGTGAGATCGATAGCCAGATCGATTGTGAGATCGACCGATTGAGATCGATACTGAGATCGGTAGTGAGTTCGATTGTGAGATCGATGGTGAGGCCGAATGTCAGATCGATTGTGAGATCGGTTGTGATATCGACAGAGAGTTCGATAGTGAGACCGAATGTGAGATCGATAATGAGGTCGAAAGTGAGTTCGATAGTGAGATCGATAGTCAGACCGAATCCGAGATCGATTATGATATCGATAGTGAGATCGATCGTGAGACCGAATGAGAGATCGATAGTGAGATAGATCGTGAGTTTGATAGTGAGAACGACAGTCAGATCGAATGTGATATCGGTTGATATCGGTTGTGAGCTCGATTGTGATTTCGACAGTGAGATCAATAGCGAGACCGAATGTGAGATCGATTGTGAGATCGATTGTGAGATCGATCGATTGAGATCGATTGTGAGATCTTAGTGAGTTCGATAGTGAGATCGATCGAGTGCGACGTTGGTCCCTCCCCCCCCTCGCCTCCTTATCACCCGAAGGGTGGTCGTATAGGTATATATAGGTATATATATATATACACATATACATACACATATATATATATATATATATATATATATATATAGTTATGTATATAGGTATATGTGTATATGTGTGTATATATATATATATGTGTGTGTATGTGTGTGTATATATATATATATATATATCAGAGGGGCAGGCCCGGGGCCGAAAACAGCTGCCTCGACCCTCCATGGGAGTACCGGGGCTCATTTTCCCAGTGTTTTTAAAGGGTTTCGGCGTCCTGGGCCTCGGAGGCCGCCGCGAGTAGGCCGCGGGGGGGGGGGGCCGGGACGGTGCCATCATCCCCCATGGGCGCCCCCTGGAACTTTTGGGGTGTCACAGACCCCCCGGGACTGCCCCGGGCCGCTTCCAAATTGCCCTCGACAGGCCACGCGGGCCGTACAGATGGTCAAGAAAGCCTCAAGAGGCCCTGAAGACGCCCAAGAGCGCCCCAAGAGGGCCCGAGATGGTTTCAAGATGACCGACGAGGGCCCCAAAAGGGCCTTCAAGAGGCAAAAATCTACTGATTCCCAACGTAAGACGTACATTTTCAGCATACTCGCTGGTTTCGTTTTCACAGTGCCCCAGACGCCACCGCGGAGCCCCAACACAGCCCAACACAGCCCAAGAGAGACCCAAGAGGGCCCGTAGGGCTCACAGAACCTCCCAAGACGGCTCAAGAGGCCCCGAAGCTGGCCCATATGGGTCCCAAGACGGCCTCAGGGACGCCCAAGAGGGCCTCTTTCGAAGTCATGTTCCCAGAAGCCTGTCGGGGAACAGGATTTCCGGGTTCCGAGGACGCCCAAGAGGCCCACAAGACAGCCTCAGCGAGGCCGCAGAGGGCCCGAGATGGCTTGAAGATGGCCGAAGAGGGCCCGAAGAGGGCCTTCAAGAGGCAAACATCTGCCCATTCCCCACGTAAAACGTACATTTTCAGCATACTCGCTTGCTTCGTCTTCGCAGTGCCCCAGACGCCCCCGCGGAGCCCCAACACAGCCCAAGAGAGATGCAAGAGAGCCCAAAACAGCCCAAAAAGATCGTCCCGTGGGGCTCGCGGAAATCCCCAAGACGGCCCAAGAGGCCCCGAAGCCGGCCCAGGAGGCCCCCAAGACGGCCTCAGGTAGGCCCAAGAGGGCCTCGTTCGGAATCATGTTCCCAGAAGCCTCTCCGGGAACATGATTTCCAGGTTCCCAGGACGCCCAAGAGGCCCACAAGACAGCCTCAGCGAGGCCGCAGAGGGCCCGAGATGGCTTGAAGATGGCCGAAGAGGGCCCCAATAGGGCCTTCAAGAGGCAAACATCAGCCTGTTCCCTTCGTAAAGCGTATATTTTCAGCATACTCGATTGCTTCGTCTTCACAGTGCCCCAGACGCCCCCGAGGAGCCTCAAGACAGCCCAGAAGATATGCAAGAGGGCCCAAAACGGCCCAAAAGGGTCGTCCTGTGGGGCTGCCAGAACCTCCCAAGACGGCCCAAGAGGCCCCAAAGCCGGCCCAGGAGGCCTCCAAGACGGCCTCCAGGAGGCCAAAGAGGGCCTTTCGAAATCATGTTCCCGGAAGCCTCTCCAGGAACATGATTTCTGGGCTCCCAGGACGCCCAAAGACAGCCCCCAGAGGCCCCCGACACGCCGAAGATGGCCTCAGGACGGCCGACGACGCCGCCAAAACACCTCAAGAGCGCCTCCAGAGGCCCCCCCAAAGGGCCCCAGAAGCTGCAAAGCATAACTGTTCCAATGGTTTTTGAAGCATTCTTGCGCTCTCCCATGTTCCGCCTCCCCACGGTCCCGGACCGCGTCAGAGGCCCTTCAGATCGCTCCAAGACGGCCGAAGAGGCTCCCAAGACAGCCCAGAGACGGGCCAGGAGGCCCCCCAGATA